GCACTATTAATATACAGGAAAAAAACAAAATAATCACCCTTTCGCAGAGCAGAAAAATGCAGATGATGAACATTTCCAAAATATGTACGGTGAAGTTTATTAATTAGCTTGCCTTTGAAAGGATGGGAGGCTAATGGCTGTGCTGCCCTGTGACTGAAGAGGCCAGCAAGTAACTCCAACCTGTTCTGAAATGGTGTCAAAGACAGAAAAAGTTTCCAAGGTAATTAAGTTCCTAAAAGCTCTGGGAAAGTCAGTGCAAGGGAGGGGGAAACAGAAGAAAGAATCCAAACACTGTCCCCGGGGAGATGAGCAGAAAGATGTCCTGTCTCTTGCCTGGTGGAGATAACGTCAGTCAAAGGAATATGGGGAAAGAAACTGGATACATAGGAGGCTTCAGGACTTTGTAAGAAATGAGACTTCATTTACTTGTTTTAAATAGAGCTTTCATCTCAGAATTTGCCAAAACCAAATTTTATAATTGTGTTTCTATTCCTACTGTGCCACCCTTCCTGCAACAAAAATCCTTAAGAAGATCAGGAGGGAGAACTTGCACAGCAATATTAGAATGCAGACTGCACACCCCAGCTGGTGTGACACAAAGCACCAAGCAAAGGAGTTCCCATATCACCAACTTCTCTTCTGATCAGTGTCAGCTCACAGAAATACATCCCAAAGCATTAACTTAGCTTTGACAATATGCTTCATGCTTTTCATGACTGATGAGTAATCACAACCACCACAGAATTTCCAAATGCCCTCTCTTGCAAATTAATACATTTTTTTTTTTTTTCTGTTTTCCCAACAGAACAATGTATTGTGGCTGTTTTTAAACTACAAAATCAAAATAGGTATGATAAAAAGACATACAACGTATCTGCCACTGCAGGCTGCTGGAATCATTGACTGCAGTCAACTGAAAAGCAGTCAAGTTTTACAGCGATACGCCACAGTTGTTTAAAAACATCTGCTATGACACAGAGTAATTTTACTCTGATTCAACAGTATGACAAAACTGTGCATTTCAACTTAATAAGATCAGCACTGAAATAGATACTTTGCAAACATGGCAATATAGAGCAAACATTTGAACTGTAGCGTGCAACTTCATATATTCTGTAATAAAGTAATTACAGAGCAAGTCCTTCAAACAATGAGGCTTCTTAATTTTAGCATACTGAATGTAAACAAACTAGCAAAAACAAGTTTAAAAAGGAAACCTTCTGCAAAGAAGCAGCATACAGCTTTTTAGTAAAGACAACAGAGCAACAAGCATCCTCCAGAATTACAAGATTTTGCTTACATGGACAAAACAATTCTGTCTCTTAGAAATGCAAGAGAACAGAAAATGAATACAGCTCCCTGATGCTTTCCACCCCGTTATACTAACAAAAAGAGCTACAAAAGTAGATGAATCAGTATTGATGATAAAAGCATACCTATGTGGCTAATTCAGCGGCTAGTCATAGCTCTACCCTAATGTTACATCAGTCAATCACTAATATTTATCATTCGGAAAAAGCAGGAAGGCACCACTGAAGAAGTGCTGAAGTCCTTCTTTTGTGATTGCAAACACTGCAAAAAAACAAAACAGGAATGATCATTTGTGCCTTACAATATCACTGTGTTGGTTACTGCACTGAAACCATGATTGGTTTAGACAAATAGAATCACAGAATGGCCTGGGTTGAAAAGCACCACAATGATCATGTAGTTTCAATCCCCTGCTGTGTGCAGGGTCGCCAACCACCAGACCAGGCTGCCCAGAGCCACATGCAGCCTGGCCTTCAATGCCTCCAGGGATGGGGCATCCACAGCCTCCTTGGGCAACCTGTTCCAGTGCGTCACCACCCTCTGTGTGAAAAACTGCCTGCTAATATCTAGCCTGAACCTTCCCTGTCTCAGTTTAAAACCATTCCCCTTGTCCTATCACTATTCACCCTTGTAAACAGCTGTTCCCCTTCCTGTTTACATGCTCCTTTCAAGTATGGAAGACCACAATGAGGTCTCCCTGGAGCCTTCTCTTTTCCAAGCTAAACAAGCCCAGTTCCCTCAACCTTTCTTCACAGGAGAGGTGCTATATATATAATATAAAGAACTGATAATACAAATACCACTAGCTATTTTGCAGCACCACAAAAAACTTTGTTCTGGACTTGTATTTGTCTTCTTGATAAGTGCCAGATTGCCAGGTCAGACAGAAATGCTCCTTGCCATTCATTTTTTGTCTCTGCCCGCCCCCCCCCCCCCCAAGTATTCAGTCTCTTTTATTGACACGTGCCCTACCCAAAGTAAGTAAAACACTTGGTGATTACCAGCACTGACCTGTGAGGTGGGGACAAAGGCCTGCTTCCTAAGGTGGAAGAGGTATCCTCTATTTCCTGAGTGCCTGCCTGCTGACAACCAGGATTGACTGTTTAGTTTGCAGAAGAAAGAAAAATTCCCACCTTTGTGAGGCACTCCCTTCTTGGTATGGTCAGCACTCACAGAGGCAGCTCTCAAACAAGAGCTCAGTGGATGCAGGCAGGGAGGACCCAGGATTGCTGGGATCCATGGACAACAGCCTCCATCAGAGGGAAAGCAAGCACCTGCACAGTGCTCAGCTCAGGCAGGAAACTGAGTGCTTTTATCCTCTTCGAGGACAATAATGGAAGGGATGGATGACAAGTTCTCACAAGGGGATTTTCATTTCTCAAAAACCAGAGGTAAATGCAAACAGTTCTTTATACGCTAGCCAAAAGGTGATGTTCTGTAACCAGGGAGAACTGCAGCTGCAGCTAGAAGGCAGTCTACAATGAAAGCAACAATTTGTTAATTAATTAAATGGTTTTAAGTTGAAGGGGGGGAAGATCTAGGTTGGATGTCTAGGTTGGAAGGCCTTTACAGAGAGAGGTGAGGTGCTGGAACAGGCTGCCCAGAGAGGTTGTGGATGTCCTGTCCCTGGAGGTGTTCAAGGCCAGGTTGGATGGGGCCCTGGGCAGCCTGGTCTAGTATTAAATGTGGAGGTTGGCGCCTCTGTCTGCAGCTGAGGGGTTGGAGCTTGATGATCCTTGAGGTCCCTTCCAACCCTGGCCATTCTGTGATTCTGTGATTAGAACTGAGCATCAAGAATGACAAGAAGCAGAACTACATAAACATTCATGGAACTTGTGTTGGGAAGGCAAAACCTGGCAAGAGAAAATAATGAAATAATGCAACAACCTGCAGATAAGAAGGATAAGGTTTATAATGCAAAAATAAAATAACTGCAGTAGTGTCACTGCCTATTAATTAGTTAGGATGGAAAGCCTAATAATAACGATGCAGGAAAGGCAGAAGTTTCAATTTAAATTTCTGCTTTGTACTTGAAAAGTAGGTGTTGTAGTGTATGACAAAGTATTTTGTTCTCTACTGGGGACTAAAGAGACAAAGCAGCACTTGAAAAAGACACCTTAAGAAACAGCACATATTACAGGTAGCTTACTTATACACATTTTATGTAAATAAAAAATTCAACAGATTTTGGGAAAAACTGTTGAACTAGAATCAGTCAGGTAAATGCAGGCTCGTTTTCCAACATCCAAGCAATGCTGCAGAATTTACAGAAGATTAAGGGTTCAAAATCTAATTAACAGTTATAATTACTAGCTAACAACTTTCAGGAGAAATAGCCTTTAATACATCTGACTTTGTTCTCTGGTGAGGTATTTGGCTGATAAACCTAGGAGGCTTATTCAGGGCATCACAGCAGTGAGATGAATCTCCTAATTCCCAACCAGCACAGCACTACACCAGTAAAACACGTGGTATGCAAGCTGGCAGGCTGTAAGAAGAGCTTTCCCAGAGACCACAAGTCAGGTGGGTTTCGGAGATGTTATATGGAGATCTGTAACAGTACTTGGATGCTTTGCAGCTTTAATAAAATCAGGCAAAAGTGGACCAAGTGGTACATCCTTACTGAGCCACAGTAATGCAGAACAGAAATCTTCATTAAGGCTGACTTTCATTCAAGCAAAACTTGTTTTGACAGAGAAAAGAGCAAACAAATTCATACAGGAAAAAGAAATTAAGGCCATAAAATGGAATACCATGCTGTCCAAACACCTTTTATTCAGTTTGAATGTCCATTGTGACATTATGGTAGAAGCAGCTAATAGGAATTGTGACTGCATAAGACAGAGAAAGTAGAGGAAAAGTAAGAGGTTGGGAAAATCTGCAAAACACCAGGAAAGAAACACAAATGGGGAAAAAAGCTCAAACACTCACAGTTGAAGATACAGAAGATCATTTTTTTCCTCCTGTCAAAAAGAACTTGCACAGCAAATATCCAGAGAGTTAATGCGCTAGAGGTTTTAATGATGTCAGCTTATTCTCCTATTATTAAGGACCCGCAGAAGCAGTGGATTTGTGCTCTACTGCACTATTTACAGCCAGGCAAATTCTTGAACGAAGAACTGAGCTGGTCTGATGGAAAGGTCTTCAGCTCAAAGCCAGTAACTTAGCGATACTTAAAGACCTGCAATATGAAGATCATTTCATCTAATAGTCACCTTTGAACATAAGGTATCAGAAAATAATGCCATTTTTTCTCCAGCAGCATTTAGCCAGTTTTCAAGCAGACACAATGCTTTGGGATGGAAGGGACTTTCACCACCTAGTCCCAGCCCCCCTGCCATTAGAATCACAGAATCAGAATCACAGAATCACAAGGTTGGAAACGACCTGCAAGATCATCCAGTCCAACCACCCTCCCATTCCTATCAGTGCCACAAGCTACTAAACCATCTCTCGTAGCTAGGACTGCCACCACCCACTACATTAGGCTGCCCAGGGTCTCATCCAACCTGGCCTTTATAGATAGATAAATAAAAATGTTCATTTACATAGCAAAACAGAAGCCATTTATACATCTCGGCAAGATCTTGACTACAAACTGATTCACATCCACTACACTTCCATTTATACTTGCCTACTATAAATACCACTGATGATCAGGTGCACATAAAGTAACAGCTTCAAAAAACTCAGTTGTAGTATCATGTTTATTTACCTAAGGCATCCCAGAAAATTTATCACAAGCATGAAAGAAGCAAGAACATTCACAACAAATCTAGCTCAGATTATTCTGTACATACTCTTCAACAACTAGAAATATATCAGCAGCAATATGGATTCATTTATACATCAGAAGTCTATACAACGTCCCTTCCTCTCCCAGTCTCCAAAACGTGTAGGTTCAGGGCCCTTCGGTCCACCTCTCTCTTTTGTAGCAGGATTGATTCCACTAGGGAATTCTACAACGACAGGGAAAATTCATTAAAATGCATACAATGCTGACAAACACAGACACAAACTGAACCAGATAATTTCAGAGAGTTTTGTGACAACAGTCAGGAATATGTTACCATATTCAGTAATGCAAATGAAAAAACAACTCAGTGTCTCAAGGCACCAGAGATTCTAATGAATTCATAGTAAGAACTTTCATCATGAAGGTAAGCTGCCACGTTCACCATATCTAAAATACCACATCACTGTTTGCGTTTGTTTAGATTTTTAATTTCAGACACTCAAGTATGAGAATTTTAGTCATGGTTTTATGATTACCATCATGTTTTCACAGATACTATCTTTTCATTAAGTATCATGCAGATGTTCATCAACTTCACACCAAATACCACTATCATAGGAGGCACTATAAAATCCTAATCAGACCTAATCAGAGGGGAAATGGCCTCAAGTTGTGCCATGGGAAGTTTAGGTTGGATAGAAGGAAAAACTTTTTTACAGAAAGGGTTGTTAAGCACTGGAATAGGGTCCCCAGGGAGGTGGTTGAGTCACCATCCCTGGATGAGTTTAAAACTGTTTGGATGTGGTGCTCAGGGACATGGTTTAGTGGAGGGTTGTTAGAGTTAGGGTAGTATGGTTAGGTCATGGTTGGACTCGATGGTCTTTAAGGTCTTTTCCAACCTGAGCAATTCTATGATTCCACCTTTTAAAACGAAGTGTGAGCCTGCTGAGTCATGCTGATACCCTTCCAGGAGAGGGATACCCTTCCTTTGTGGGGTATGAATGGGATTTCCAAGTCTCCCCAGTGAGCCACATGAGCAGAACTCATCAGTAGAGCTTTTTCCGCTCCCAACTACCTAGCTATGTCATCTCTTTGACAGGAAAGGAGATTTGCTTTGCTTTGCTCCTTTCCTCCATCAACATCCTCATGCTACTCAATGCTCTCTCAGTAAAGCCCTCTGCCTGGGCCTCACCAAGCTACAGAGAGCTCACTTTCTGGCACAGCGCCATTCTAGGCTGAGTATTTTTTCATCCTGCTCTGGGCTGCAGAGCTGCCTGAAGCTCAGGGTACCCCATGCACCTCTGCCATGCTGATTCCAGAGCCCTCCTTAAGTCCACTTGACTAGGGGCTCTCAGCACTACTGCACTGCTGGGAAACACATAATACAGAGCAGGACTGAACACGAGAAAGGAGAACAGAAATTCTGGGGAGCAGTGAAAGTGAAGGACAGTGGTAGAGGAAGACACACATAGCTACAGGCCATACAGAATGATGTACAGGAACGCCTGTTTAAAAATTCATGGAGACCACGATAGAGAAAATCAGCACTTGAGCACCTCCGGCAGTACAGGGAGCACAAATGCATCACCCTAATATCTAAGCAACACTGATGTGCTGACAGTGGATACATAAGCTCAAAAGCTTTTTTATGATGGCTACACTGCAATGGGAATTTCAAACGGCCACCTAAGCCCCTCCTTTTTTTCTAATAAACATCAAGGATAGGAGGAGCAGTCAGCATTCCAGCAAACTACTGCCAGCATTGTATTGTATATAAAAACACACAACTAAATTGAAACACAAGAGAAACCTCTAATTTTGCCCAAAAATCTAAGCAAAAAGCAAAAGATAATAATTGTTTTAAATGAAGCACTGGTGGTATTCCTTGGGAATAGAAAGGAATTCAGAATTAAGTGACTGCTTATACAATAACTCCAACTCTGAGTCAGTGCTCATAGGGAGTCACAATCTAAAACTGCCAGCAGCTGGTCTGGAAATGATACTGTAATTTTTCAGTCATTCTGTCATCTGGAAACTCATAGTGATCTATTGGTACACTGAAAGAGTTTGTCCTAGACAGCTCAAGATGGATAAACACAGGTTATTGCCACTGGTAAACAAGCAGTAACAGAACAGCACAAGGTGGTGAATGAGGTTAAATCCGACTGGTTAAACAACGACTAAAGAAAGAGGAGGAAAAAATCAATCCTTTAATTCTCCTGTCTGATAAAAGCGTGCGTTTCTGTGACTTGCAGCAGCAATATATTTGGTATCTGTGTAGGTAAGACAAGATATTCTGTGCATCCCCACCAAGTGATCGGAACACACTAACAGCAGACAGAGCTCCTCAGGTCTCCCTGGCCCTGCTGAATGGTTCAAGAAGCTCTGCACATGGCGCTGCTCTTCAAAACACCACATGGAAGGCTCAGAGCAACAGTGAAAAGCAGCACGGAATGGACATCTTTTGTGGACTAAAATTGGAACAGGCTTCTTGCATCATTAAAAGCAGCTGGGACCAACATTTATAGCTGCACTACAGTAGACCAATATTGCTACATCAGTTACATTTGGCAGAACCATGGAATAGTTGATGCTGGAAGGCACTTTTGCCAGACAGCAGGCCCCACAGGAAGACCCCAGGCTAGAACGTCCAGGCTAATTTGAGTATCCCCAGGAAGAGAGATCTTGCCTTTAAAATACAGCTTTCAACTTCATAAAGCATGACTTACTTTCCAGAGGTTCCCTCTCTACGCTGGACTCCTCCGGTTCATCAAATCGGCCTACTGGTAACTTCGGTTTCTTAAGCCTCTGCTTAGCAGGCTCAGGTCTTCCCTCCGACGTATAGCTCCTCAGGGAGCTGCAGGGCAGCGATGATCCTACAAACAAATGGACATGTGTCACCTACGCATCAGACCCTGATACCAGACAGCTCTGCCTCTGTTTTGAGAGCTTCTGAGAACAAACCAAACTGCCTCACTCCAAAAATCAGGGAGTGAAGGTGAGGCAAAAACCCCTCAAGAGATCAAGTCCAACCCCCTGCTAAAGCAGGTACCCTACAGTAGGTCGCACAGGCAGGTGTCCAGACCTTGAATATCTCCATAAAGGGAGACTCCACAACCTCTCTGGGCAACCTGCTCCAGGGCTCCATCATCCTTACCATAAAGAAGTTCTTCTGCATGTTTGTTAATGCAGAACTTCCTCTGTTCGAGTTCGAAACTCTACTCACTAACACCTAAGAAATTAGCACAGATTCTTATTTTTGGTTCTAGAAACATATGCATGCAAAATTGTGTTAGTTGTATAACTCTGTTCACATCAACAGTGTATTTTAAACTTTTTGAAATTATCTTCACTGTTACTGTCTTGCATTTTAGGTTCTAAATAGCAATAATGCTAGCATAGAGGAATACATTCTGTTTCCCTGGAAAAGGCTGAACCTCCCCCAGGAAGGCTGCAGATTTTCAGGGCTTGGCTCATCTCCAGCAATTTTTTTGTCAGAAAGAGCCTCTGCTTCCCCAAAGGAAAGTACCCCCAGAAGTAAGGAAAAATCACTGTTCCCTTGGTAACAGGTCTTCCAGGATGTTGGCAAAGAACAGAGGGACCTCACTTATGACAATAAAATAAGTTGGTAGTCAAAAGCAGAACAAACTTTAAGCTCATTTAAGTTCAATTATATAACTCTATACATATGCTTTAATAAGAAGAAAATATTTTCCCCTCATAAAGCCTCACTAATAGCTTTAAACACAATTACGACAAACCTTATTACCATCCCCCTTAATGTTCTGCTAAGTATTTTAAAGACACCAAGGTGCACAGCTATTCTAAGTAACTGAATAGACATTACCAAATCAGAAATTGCTCACAAAGACCTCCCAAAAGACAGATATGTCTGCATTTCATTAAAAAGCCAAATGCCCACCATGAACAGGAACATCTCTGAAAAAACTTCAGCTATGTATGGATATGGCCTAGTCTTTTCTCTAGAAGATTCAAACATAAACCCTGCCTGCCCACGCTGGGCTCCAAGCACTGCAGAGAGCCGTGGCTTCACGTAGCATCTTCCAGCAGCACAGCTGTCACTCACCCATACCAAACAGCAACCAGCTGTATGCCCCAAATCAGCATATCCAACCATCCTAAAATACCATGGCCTGCGCAAGTTTAGACCCTACAGTCACATAACCCGTGCTGGGCCTGCCAAATGCAGCCAGTGCCCCAAAGGAACACTGTTTTTTTTTTTCCTCTTTAGCTACGACAAAGGGGTTTAAGAACAGCAAGGAATCCAACACTTCTGCATCTGTTGGATCCTTCTCTCTGCTTTTCTGCAGGCTGGAACAAAAGCCAGGTAGGAAATTCAGTGCTCAAGTCCAAGTTCAAATACAAGTCATGCCGAACTACTGATATGAAACTACCTGACAGTAAGGAGGGAAGAGGCAAAATCCATTTCTCCTATTTGTAACATTTGGAATTGTTGACTAAAACACGTTCCTCTTGACACAGGGCTGACAGCATCTCAACACTGACCACCTCGGAGAAGCACAGGACAGAGTACCCATCAGCAGGGTACGTTCTGCAGGCTGCTCTCAGGCTGCTCATCCTTTATGAGCACTGCAAAGCCGTGCTGTGTGCTAATCATAGAGCTGAATTTGGAAAGAAGCTGGAAACCCCAATTCTCCGCAGCTGTAGCGCTCAGCCGTCACGGAACCCAGCAGGGCCACTCAGGCTGCGGGCTGCACAGCAACGCGCTGGGGATGGGGCACCTCACGGTCCCTTTCCCAGTCCTCCTGTTCTCACAGCAGCCGCCGTCATTCCTCTCCACATCGCTCCGTTCTCACGGCTCAGCCGCCACACGGGGTTGCTCCCCACCCGGCCCGGCTGCCCGCCTCCTCAGCACACACACAGCGCTAAGCTGCCGAGGCCGACTGCCCTCCAGCTATTCCGCCAGCACTAACGCGCAGCTCAGCTTCACTACAGTTCCAACCCTCGCAGCGCTAATAAACTCCCATAACGGGTAGCGAGGCCTGGCAGCTGCAGGCCAGAGCTGGGCGGGCACGCATTCACACATACGGCCTGGCAGAAGCTCCGGCGTCCCCCCCTCCCCCGCCCCGCTCCCCGCTCCCCGCTCCCCACCCGCTCCTTACTCGCCGCGGCCCTCAGCAGCCGCAGCGCCATAGCCGCACCGTCCGCGCTCAGGACGCGCTACCGCGCCTGCGCCCCGCGCCTGCGCAACCGCCACAGGCCGCGCGTGGGGAGTGGCGGGAAGAGCGTGTGGAGGCGGGCGGGGCGGGGCGGGGCTAGGTAAGTGGCCGGCTCCTAGTGTCGGTTGTGCGGCGGTTCCTGTGAACTCTTGGCCCAGTTTCTGTCGTGCGACGAACTGTTAACCGCTCAGAAGACCCGCTCCTACACCTCCCCGCCTTTTGGAAACAAATTAACGTAAAAGTGATGAAAGCATGCTGCTGAAATCACTCAAAGTAAGACGTAACGTACAACGGACATGAAATGATTCCGCCTGGCGTCACAGCGCTGGCTGACAGACCCAGCGTTCGTAAAGGCTGCGGCACTTTAACCTCAGTTACCGTTCTTTTTAACCTCGCGTAATTGCTTCGTTACTGAACCAGCACACTGTACGGCCCAGCAGGTGCCCTTTCCACACCCGAGGAGAGGCTCCTCCTCCTCGCAGAAGGCATCAGGACAAACTGCCACACGACCCCTGCCGACACCGACCTCATGTTTTTCCCATCTGCCCACGGCGGCGGTGCCGGACACATACGGTGTGCTGGTTGCTCTGCGGGCCCCGTCACCTCACTCTTCCTCAATTCTAAGCCATCCCCGTGGATACTGAGCCACAGAAAGCTGCTCGCTTGGCTTCAGGGCGACTGGAGTCTAAAATAGCATTTTATGTTTGGATGTGGTGCTTAGGGACATGATATAGCACTGGGTTGTTAGTTAGGGTAGTATGGTCAGGTTGCAGTTGGACTTGATGATCTTGAAAGTTTTTTCCAACCTGAGCAATTCTATGATTCTGTATTCTCATTTTAAGCGTTTAAGGAAGTAAATCTCCTTGGTAAATTAACAGCAGTGCTGTGCTGAGTTTATTGCACGGCATCTGTCCGTGCCTACACATGGAAAGCAATTACATTTAACTGACTGCCTTCTGTGTGACATTTTTTCAATCAGCTTTTTATAACATGGTTAATTGGGCATGAGAGACTGGCAGTGATGGAAAGCCTTTCCGTTATTTTAACAGACTAGAGAAAGCAGTGCAATAGTGGTGGCTCATGCGGGAAAAATGCTCTTCGGCCCAAAAGGAGCGAGAAAAAAAATCCACAGATGTATGCCAAGTTCAACAGCTTATCGTGCTCCCATGAAATCTTTACCTTGACAACATTTATACTGAGCTGCCCGCAGGCACCAAGTAGGGGTAAGCTCTGTTCCCTAAGAGATTAAAGTAAACCCATGACAAACTGCACTTGCGTGCATTCCCAAATGGTAAGGGTGAAACAACTACATAAGAATAATTAGTTATGATTCTTCTACGCAAAAACAAGGTCTTCAGAGCTATCTTCCCCCTTCATTTCCCCCTTCATTTCCAGCATATTCCTGTAAAAATGTAAACTTCACTTTTTACTCCTGCTTTATGTGTTCCTAGATGTGGTTGAAGAGATTGTGAACCTGAACATAAGACCTGAATGTAACGTTACCTGAATATAAGAACATATGTAAGCACGTGCCACAGAAACATGCCACTGTGACTGAAACAAGAAGTTTGTTATTTTGTTTTGTGCTTTCCTTCCTGTGCTTTCTAATCATTTCTCTTTTACTCTCCAGCGTGCCCTGCAAGGAGTCAGAATTATGTATTATCCTTTATTTTGCTGTTCTGAAAAGCAGGTAGTAGAAGACCTACAGCCAACACGCACTATGCAGGTCAGTTCAGATGAGCTAGAACATAAGCTGCAAGGCCTGGTGATTTCCAAAACAATCTTTTTTTTTTTTTCTTTTTTACTTTTTCTTCCTTTTTTTCCCCCCCAATTAGTTTCCACATCTCTAGGATCAGAAAGTTTAATTTTGATGGAAGACTCAAATACAGACCAAGGAATTAACTTACACACATTACATGGGAACAAAACCTCAGATATAGTGTTCTCATTTCATGTAGTAATCTCCTGATAATACCACTGGGAGCTTTGTGAAATAACAAGAACAGTGTAATGGCTTCAGGGAGCAAGAGACTGGCAGCTTTCTAAAGGAATGTCAGTCCTTGATTGTTAACTCCCTTTCTGTAAGCAACACCTGATGCAGCCTCATCCTCTTCCAGGTGGCTGCAGGATACTCGCGTAAAGGGGAGGCTGCTGACACTGCAGAGAGATGAAGCCCTCACTCAAACAGAAGAGAGATGGAGCATTTCATGGCTGCTCTAGATCACATGGTGCTGAATTATATATGCAAGTCCACATTTCTATCTAAAAAATAGATATATGCAAGAGCAGCTGGAGCATGCTGTGCACAGATGTTCCAAACATGGATGAGTGCACGTGTTGTTCAAACAACCACCACAAAAGTATCATACAGTTAATGAGTGCAAATATGAACTTTACATGCTTCAAGGGCACACTGAGGTCATCACACCACTCAGTACAGCAAACAAATACTGATCCCTCCTTTGAGGTATCGAGCAGCCTCCACCAAATCTACAACACAAAGGGTCACCCAACCACAGATGGATTGCAATGAGGAAAATACAGGCGAGGAGAGAAGTCCTCTACATTTGCCCTGTTCTATGAAAAGTTTACATCAAACATCAGAGCATTTCCTACACCATCCAATAGACTGGATTCCAGTCTGCTTAAGTGGATGGGCTTGAACATTTTAAAAAGTGGCTCCAGTGCAGGATATTTCTGCTTTGCTAATCACAAAGGCACAACGTACACTTTTTCAGTTCCAGAAAGGCACAGCAAGACAAATGTTTTTCAGCAGCAACAGAGAAGTCTGAAGAGTCCTCTGTCTCTCGAAACTGATATTAACAACTTACCTACTAGTCAGCTACTGTAATACTGTTAAACAAAGACAGTTGAGATATCACAATGTAATTTAAATATTTACAGCATAGCAGTACCACCATACTATAAAAATATATATAAAAATAGATATTGTTAGAATGGGAATGCATTTAAGATATCTTTCTGTAATAAGCACTTGCCTAAAACAACTCTGTAAGAAAGCACTCTGAAGTGTGCACATCGCCAAAGTGCAGGTGCTCGTCTGAAATCTGTAAGCTGCAGAGAAGAAAGTGTGTTATTACAGAGACTGCATGAACAAACCATATAAAACGTAAAATTACTTCATTACAAACTATTATTGCTACATTCATTTCAAATAATACAAAAGTATTAATTATATACAAAAATGCCTCCCCGGGATTTGGTAATTAGCAGAAGATTTCAGTTCCTTTAATTGCTTCCTTAGAGTCATTTGTTCATTTTATTAACACCAGATGCAATAACACAATGCTAAAAATAAACATGCATTATACAACAAATTTATGTTTCCCAAAAAATGTTCATTACAGTTAGTGAACGCACATGTAACCCTTTTCCGCCCCACCTTTAGTGAATTCTTGTTTGAAACAGAGGAAAGGGAAGGAAGGAGAAACCGAACTCAATGCTATTCAGCACCAGTAGAAAGTCAACAGACCTTTAACATTCCTGTGTATCAGAAACATTTTATCTGCATCACTGAACAGGTAAAGTTTACAATGTCGTCCCATTTGAAGATGTATCGATTTCTATTTACAATACTTTGTAGTCAATAAAACATTTGAACAATATTTAAAAATTGAATAAATTCATAAAAGTATTGCAGAAGTTTATAACATTTACTTCTTTCACGTACATACAAGGAAGTCCATGTAAAACAGTCCGCGTTCGTCTGAGGAACTCACAGAGTAAGGAGCAATTTTATACGGTCTGCAAAACCCCAATTATTTGAAGGCAGCGATCATTAAACATTCAAAAATCCTTAGTTGCCATTTGCTTCTGAAAACTAAAGTTCCAGTAATAAAATTGAATATGTAAACTAACGTGTTTTGAGATCAGTAGAAAATATATTCCCACAGGCATAATGTATTTACTAATGCTGACAATGACTTTGTAGAAAACTGTTAAGATGCTGCGATGTCTGAACAGACAACTCTGTAAGGGTCTTTGTGAGACTCCCAGATACAGTTGTTTTCAAATACCCAGTATTTTAGCAGCTTGTTTTGTTTCCAGTTAAACTTCCTACAGTGCTAAAATACAATAATTGCATGTGTAATACCTTAGAAGAACTTTTAAACCCAATTAATTCCGGCATCTAAAGCGTCTTGTAAAATGTAGCCAAGTAATGTTGACTTCTGTAGTCTTAAGAGCCAATAAGAAACCAAAGAGAGTACACACTGTGCTTTAATCTCCAAATAATTAGGTACCCCAAATTAAGAAAAAGTAATAGAAAAGTAAAAAGAACAAAATAAAAAAATATTGCACAGCCACATTACCTAGAAAGTAAAGTCGATGTTAAAAAGCCCTAAGTGTGGATGATATAAATTATCTTCCATATAAAAAGTATAAATATCTCTTAAAATACAGCTGCAGCTATACTTTAATATCACACATTATTTGATTCTTCTGTTAATGAGGTAATAACCAAGTCTCTCACGATGCTCTTCTCTACTGAAAGTACTTCAGGGCAGCAACAAGGAAGAACTTTTCTAAAAATATTTCTGAATCAAGAACAGCAATGTGTGCAGCTCTCCCTATGAGAGAATCTGCTGTATTGGGCAACGCGTTAATTACGTTGTAACGAACCAAATTACATTCCTTATTTTGAAGAACTGGCAGAAGCAGGTTCTGGATCATTTCAGCATAAATTGGTCCTGTGGAGGAAAATAAAAATGGTTCTCTGTGAATCACCAGGAATGCACTTCTATGACCTCGAACTGAAAATGAATGCGTTCCGGAATAAAAGCACTGAATGTATGATGCTGCTTTTCTGTTTAAGGCTGAATACAGGAAGCTTGATTTCCTCAGATACTGTGCAAAAACATAACTTTACATACCATGTATTTGTTCAATATACATCTGTAGTGAAAAAGTGCCTGTCACTATTCATTTATTATACCGTCTGTGTAAATGATGCTATTTGCTAATATATAATGTCAGTGTGACTATGCTGGGATATCCC